CCATCTCTAGTATTGATATGTTAAACTTTAAGTCTCTAAATGTCCCTGTAAAAATATGCAATTGTTTATTCATATTTTTAAAATTTTTTTCTTTAGTTCCTTTTAATCATTTTGCATGGCTCAGCTATCTGGAATTGGCTCTTGTGTCTATTGCTTACCCTTGAATCCACTTTGGGAAATTTGGAAATCTTTGGAGACATTTTGTTGCCTTATTTTTTCATGTCAGTATATTTTGTGCTGAGCGTTGACGTTAAATAGACACAATTTCAAATAATCTGGAAAAAATTCATTATCTATTTCCATGTATTCTCTAAAATACCTCAAGTTGGGACTGGGGAGATGGCTTAGTAGAATAAGCGCCTCCCTGGCAAGCGCCAGGGTCTGAGTTCAGTCCCTGGTTCCAACCTCACATCTCAAAAAAATAATTTCCATGTGAGAGTTTTAAAGCTGTAGGTGAATATTTTTAACATGTGAAATTTAGCTCTGTTTATAATTAGGTTTTTTTAATCAAATATTCATTGAAAAGCAGCTGCTTTATGGTAATAAATGAAAACAAACCACATTGATTGCAAGAGTATTAAAATATAAAATGGTGATAAATCTCACCATTAAATTTAAAAGACCTATATACAGAAAACTAGAAAACATTGCAAAGAAATTAAAATTTTCAAGAAACATTTTAATGCGAAATACATGTAGATAACAATTTTCTATGAAAATTCAAAAGACTAGAAATCATTAAAACAATTTTGAAAATGAACAAAAAACTTCAGAAGGCTAACATGACATTTCTTCCAGAATGAATATACATTTATAATGTCTTGTATTCTCTTTCAGCTTCTCACACTAATGGGAGATAATACAATGCATGGACATATGAGTGATTAATTTCACTTAATACGTATATACTCAAGTTATATCCATTTCCTAGAGAATTCTCCAGTTTATCCTTTTTATGGCTAAAGCCCATTGTATTTTAAACATACACACACACACACACACACACACACACACACACATCTTTTTTATCCATTCTTTGGTTGATGGGCATTTAGGTTGTTTCCAGGACTTTGCTATGACAAATTGTGCTGTTATAAACATTTATGCACATATATCACTGTGGTATGTTTTTAATTCTTAAAGGAAGATGCCTAAAAGAAGAATAGCTGAGTCACATGGGACCTCTAATTCTAGTTTTGGGAGAAATTGCCACACTGATTTCCACAGTGGTTGCACCAGTCTACACTTCCACCAACAGTGGAGATGGGTTCCTTTTTCCTCATACCCCCTTCAAGCATTTGTTGTTACCTGATTTCTTTATAATAGCCATTTCTTTCTTTCAGAGTGAGATGGAATCTCATTGTTTCAATTTGCATCTCTTGAATGGACAGTTGTATTGAACATTTCTTTGTGTATGTGTTTACTATTTGTATTTCTTCATCTGAGTTCATTTTTGGATTGGATCTGTAAATCTAAGAGGTCTTGTTTTCTTTGAGTTCTTCATATGTTCTCAATAGTAATCCTTTGTCTGAGGAACAGCTTGCAAACATTTTTTCTCAGGTTGTAGGTTGTCTCTTGACTGTTGGTTTCTCTTGCAGTGCAAAGGCTTTTTAATAAGATGAAGTCCCAGTCATTGATTCTTTGTAATAATTCCTGTGCAGGGTTTTATTCATAAATTCTTTGCCTACACCAATTTCTCCAGGAGTTTTACCATTCTGTCTTCCAGCAGGTTTAATGTTTCTGTTTTAATATTTAGATTTTTATCCATTTCAGATTTATTTTCACACATGGTAAAAGATATGGGTCCAATTGTAATCTTTGGCATCTATCTGCAAAGCCAGTTTTTACAGCACTGTTTATTAACGAGGCTGGCTTTCTTCCAATGAATATGTTTGGCACTTTTGTCAAAGACACAGTGACTGAGGTTGCCCAGATTTCTGTCTGAGCCTTCTAATCAGTTCTGTTGATTCTCAAGTCTGTTTTTTTCCAATACCACGTTGTTTTTATCATAGTAGCTTTATAGCATAATAAGTATCAAGTAAGGATTCTAATGTCTTCTCCCTTGCCTTTGTTACCCAGAAGTGCCTTTGCTATACTAGGTCTCTTCTGATTACAAATAAACTTAAAGATTATTTTCTCTAATTCTGTGAGATATGCTG